ATCAACAGCGGGAATTCCCATTTCTTTGGGGTATTCTCACTCAGCACGGAGTACTTAGCGTTACTGTTTTTTAAAGATATAAGGGAGGAAGGCCAGTCCCACGAGGGGCAGCGGTCCCACGAGAGGCAGCGGTTCCACGACGGGCAGCCGTTCCACAACAGACGGCGGTTCCACAACGGGCAGCGGGCAGCGGTTCCAGGATGGGCAGCGGTCCCATGGGGCCTTTGTAGGTGGGAGACCACGGCAGGTGAAAGACAAACAGATACATCATGCAGGGTGAGTATAGAGTTTATTATGTGGGTTATGGAAGGGAAGGGGGAGAGAGAGAGAAAAAAAATAGATGGGTGGAGGGGGGGGAGAAGAGGCAGCAGCCACCTCTTTTGAAGAGGAATGGAGATAGAGAGTGGGGGAGGAGGAGGGAGGGAGAAGGGAGAGAGGGAGAAAAAGAGAGGAGAGAGAAGAGAGGAGAGAGAGGAGGGAGGGAGGGAGAGATGGAGAGGGAGAGAGGGAGGAGAGAGGGAGAGAGACAGAGACAGGGGGAGGAAAGGGAGAGGGAGAGAGAGAGCTAGCTGGAGGGGGCAGAATATCTGCTTCCCTCAGTGGAAGGGGAGGGGTTGGGAGAGGGCGGGGCTCGTCTCTTAAAGGGACAGGGTACCCAGGTGACAGACCAGGCCAGCAGATCATAACACACAGTAGTGGTCACAGCGCGCTAGAAGATGGGCTAGAGTTTCCCCTCTGTTATATTCATGCTGTTCAATTTGGTTTCTTCAAGAATGTGCAGCCGGGTGGTGGCGGAGCACATCTTTAATCCCAGCACTTAGGAGGTAGTGGCAGGCGGATCTCTGTGAGTTCAAAACCAACCAACCAAACAAACAAACAAAAACAAATGTGTTGGAACTAATGGTACATACCCTGCTATTCTCTGGACAGTGATTTAAAGTTCCCAAGAGGATCCGATCCAAGAGGTGGGTGCTCCAGGAATTTAGAACACACTTGTTGATTTTGCAAAGGATCAGGGTTCAATTCCCAGCTCCCCACATGGTGACTTACAATCCCCTGGAACTGGAGCCAATGCCCTCTTATGGCACCATTGGCACCAGGCACACAATATGTATACGTAGGCAAAACTCATTCATATAAAATGAATAAATCCCCCCAAAATCTTTCAAGTTTCCAAGAGACAATGTAATATTATGAATTGTCAAACAGAACTAGGGATTCCTGTCTTGGCAACAGCCATGCTCTATTAAGTCTGGAACATTGTAAGTTACAAGAGGAACAACTAAGCCAGGTTGTAGTGTCACACGCCTTTCATCCCAGCACCCAGGAAGCAGAGACAAGTAGGTCTCTGAGTTCGAGGGCATCCTGGTCTACAAAGTGAGTTCAAGGACAGCCAGGACTACACAGAGAAGCTTGTCTCAAATACCAAAAAATCAAAACAAAACAAAACAAAACAAAACAAGAAGAACTACTATGTATTTATTCCTAAGGAAAAACTGCTGTTAAACTATGACACATGGTTTCTTTTTGTTTTGTTTTGTTTTTTTGAGACAGAGTTTCACTGTGGTTTTAGAGCCTGTCCTGGAACTAGCTCTTGTAGACCAGGCTGGTCTCGAACTCACAGAGATTCGCCTGCCTCTGCCTCCCAAGTGCTGGGATTAAAGGCGTGCACCACCACCGCCCGGCTTGACACATGATTTCTTTTCTCTCCCCCAACTCCCTTGTTTCTTTAAGTAATGTTTAGATTTATGTAGCACCACTAATAAAAACCCAGGGACAGATATTGGGGTTCAAACTGAAGATCAGAAAAGCAAAACAGTCAAACTCTAGAGATTTCTTACCTCTGCCAAGACTGAGAGATCTTGTAGTCAGTGACTGCAGACGACTGCACACTGAGACCCTGAGCTCCTTCTCCTCCTGTCTCACATTCCTCTCTAGTGCTGGGATTAAAGGTGTGCGCCACCACTGCCTGGCCTCTATGGCTAACTAGTGTGGCTAGCCTTGCACTCTGATATTCAGGCAAACTTTATTAAAACATACATGAAATATCACTATATTTATTTTATGTATGTTTTGCCTGAGGAGGCCAGGGAAGGAATCAGATCCCCTGGACCTGGAGTTATGGATGGTTGTGAGCCACCATATGGGTGCTAAAAACTGTAAGAGTGACCAATATCTCAACTGCTGAGCCACCTCTCCAGCCCTTTCCAGTATTTTGTTTTGTATTTTCTTTTTTGGACAAGGTACTGTTTTTTGTTTTTTTTTTTTTTAATCCACTTGCCTCTGCCTTCCAAATTCTGGGATTAAAGGCATGGGATACCAAGCCTGATCACTAGCAGATATCTTTTTTTTTTTTTTTTTTTTTGGTTTTTTTGAGACAGGGTTTCTCTGTGGCTTTGGAGCCTGTCCTGGAACTAGCACTGTAGACCAGACTGGTCTCAAACTCACAGAGATCCGCCTGCCTCTACCTCCCTAGTGCTGGGATTAAAGGCGTGCGCCACCATCGCCCGGCCAGATATCTTTTTTTAAAAAAATGTTTATTTATTTTTATGTATCCAACATTCTACCTCCGTGTAGCCTGCAGGCCAGAAGAGGGCACCAGATCTCATTATAGATGGTTGTGAGGAACCATGGTGGTTGCTGGGAATTGAACTCGGGACCTCTGGAAGAGCAGTCAGTGCTCTTAACCTCTGAGCCATTTCTCCAGCCCCCCCCCCCCTTTTTTTGGTTTTTGAGACAGGATTTCTCTGGAGCCTGTCCTGGAACTAGCTCATGTAGACTAGGTTGGCGTCGAACTCACAGAGATCTGCCTGCCTCTGCCTCTCAAGTGCTGGGATTAAAGGCATGTGCCACCACCACCCGGTGAGACAGGTACTCTCTATGTAGCCCTGGCTATCCTGGAACTCACTATGTAGACTATGTAGGCTGATCAAATCTCAAACTCACAGAGATTCACTTGCCTCTGCCTCCTGAGTGCTGGGATTAAAAGCCTGCACCACTACACTCATCTCATTTTTTAGAAATTTCTTGAGGTAGGAGCTCATGTAACCCAAGCTGCTATCAAAGTGATCAGCCTTGAAACCATATACACAATAGCAACAAAGCAGACCCAGCTGGTTGTGTTTATGTATATATGTGTTGATGTGTATTTGTGCATACACATACATCTATATGTATGTAACAATAAAAAGAAAAAGAGGCTATCAAATTGAGAACCATAGGAGGGACTCATGGGAGAATAGCTGGGATGGGCTAAAGGGAGCAAAGGGAGGGGAAAAAGAAATGAAATGAATCTTTCATGTTTCTGTTAAAATGTAAATTTCTTTATCTCAGGATATGTAAGGGCATTGGGTGTGTGGTTTAAACATCTTAAAAAATCAGTAAACTTAAAAGCAAATAAAAAGTTAGTTTAAAACTTGTAACATTAAAGGTCAGGTAGTATTGTAACAAAAATTAGTTCCAGTACTTGGGAGGCAGAGGCAGGCAGATTTCAGAATTCAAGACCAACCTGATCTGCAAAGTGAGTTGAAACAAGACAAGACAGCCAGGGTTACAGAGAAATCCTGTCTCAAAAAAAAATGCATATTAGTGCTCTATCTGCATTGAGGGAATAGGATCCCATCATAGATGGTTGTGAGCCACCATGTGGTTCTTGGGAATTGAAGTTAGGACCTTGGGAAGAATAGCCAATGTTTTTTACCACTGTGCCATCTCTTCAGCCTTTGCTTTGTTTTTTGAGACAGGATCTCTAAGCAGTCTTAGACTTCGCTAAGTTTCTTGTTTTGTCTTTTGAGACTTCTGGCTGTTCTGGAGCTCACTCTGTATACCAGGCTGGCTGGCCTTCCAACTCCAGAGATCCACCTGTCTCTGCCTCGGGAGTGCTGGGATTAAAGGTGTGTACCACCACCACCCTGCCAGGACACTTTGATCCTAACAATAGGGAAACTGAGGGAAGGGGAACAGTTTCAAGGTAACTAGGGTTACAGAAGCTCCAGGCCAGGCTGACGACGAAGCGACTCTTTATCTCAACAAAATGAAGGCTGGTGATACAGTGATGAAGTGCCGGGCATGCCCAAGGAACACACACAACAAATATTGAAAGAAAATATTTATTTCTCCTGTTTCCTAGTCTTCCAGATCATCCCGGATTACTGTTTCTAGGCTGATTTTAGTTTTAAATCGGAATTTTTAGAGCCAGACATTTTTACTGTTTTTCAGCTGAAATCTAGGGGGTGGGGGGGGGGGGGGGGGGTGGGGGGGGGGGGGAGGGGGGGGCAGGGCTAGAGCGGGGGGAGAGGAGGGTGTTGGTGAGGGCTGGGGAGGAGGATGATGGGCTGTTCCGTAGCCGAGTAAGCATTCATTGTAACAGCCTCCACTCAGAGCACGAATGCCAGGCAGTAGTGCCATGGCAACCGCATCCCGGTCTTGGAGGTTCCCAAGGGATTTTCTGTGTCCTGGGGAAAAGCCACACTCACTAGACTCGGGCTTTTTAAAACGCGGAAATAATTTCCACTGGGAGGGGGTTTACACACGCCCACACGCCACTCCAGTCCTCTTCATCATCTAGAATCTTTCTTTAGGAGGATCCAAAATGATCCCCCCCCCCGCACCCCGCGAGCGTATAAACTAGTAAAAAGAAACAAGGCGCAAAGGAAATTAGAAGAGATGCTGTCTGCAGGATTCTGAGCCGAGGTCCTTCCAACACCCCTGCCGCTCTTTTTTCATTGGGATGCCTTCCAAGCGGCTAGTCGAGGGAAAGCCATCAAGCGAGATGCCCGGGCCGCCCCGCAGCGCCCTCTTCGCCAGCGGCAGGTGGGGCTGCCCTGCTGGGTCCCCACGACTGCGGACACCCCTCCGGAGGGCGACTCCAGGCCTCTCGGCGACCAGGAGCACCCAGCAAGTCCGCGCGCCGTCCGGGTTCTGGCCAGCGCGTGCCTGGGGCGGAGCTAGGGGCGGGACCTCGCGTGATTGGCCATCTGGGCCAGGAGGCGGGGCTGCCGGACGGACGCTGACAATGAGCCTCCATAAAAGGGAGCGGCGGGGTCGGGGGCCCCGGATCGAGCCCTCCCCGCCCGGGGTCGTGACGAGCTGAAGGCCGTGGCTGGCCGGGCGGCCGGGTGGGCGGCGGGCGGGTGAACTAGACGGTCTGCGGGCCCTGCGTGGTCCGGGGCGGGAGGCCGCCGCCAGTGGCGGCGCGCCGAGGCCTGCGCGCCCGTCCTCCGCTATCGGGTCGCCCTTCGCCGCCTCACCATGGCCCTCAGAGCAGAAGGAGCCGCGGCGCTCGACTGCTTCGAGGTGACGCTCAAGTGTGAGGAAGGAGAGGACGACGAGGAGGCCGTGGTGGTTGCCGTGATCCCGCGGCCCGAGCCGATGCTCCGAGGTAAGGGGGGGAGTGAACCTCACTTCCGCATGGCGACAAGGGGCTCGGCCACCGGTTCCCATTCCCTGGTCCCCAAGCGCGGTCCGGGCCCTTCCCGGTGGGGTCCACGGCGGGCGCGCGCCCTCGCTCCTCCCCCACCGGGGTTTGGAATCCCAGGCCTCTCGGAGCCCCCTCCCTCCGCTCCCCTCCCCCGCTCAGGGTCTGGAGGCTTCCATCCACACCAAACGAGCGCTTCGGGTCTTCCGGTTCCTTGTGCCCTCTCGGGCTCAGCTTAGAGGCCGGATTCCCAGGACGGTAGTTTGTGCGCCGCCGCCGTCTCCCCGTTTCGGCCTGACTGCGTCCTAGGCCGAGGGGCGACCAGGCCTCTAGGCCCCAGGCTGGTCGCCGAAGCGATAACTGGGGCGAAGGCTAGCGCGACTGCTAAACTCCCGAGAGGAGCATTTTTAAAGCCCTGTCTAGTAGAGCCCGCCCGACCCCATCCCCAGGCCTTCTCTCGCAGCAGCCACAGGTGTCAGTTCCAGAACCCCGTCGTTGAATGGAACTGCAAGCAGCACCCAGTTTGAGAAAAGCGGGCTTGCTTGGGGGGTAGTACTAAGCCATCTACATGGAGATTAGTCACCAAAGGAGGTATTTGAGAGACAATTGGAAATAACTCGCTCACCCTTCCCCTTCTCCATTTCTCTTCCCCTGCTCCTTTTGGTCCAAAGGAGAAAACAAAGAACTACCTTTGTGCAAGGCTATCAGTCATTGTTGGAGTTTAAATGCAGTCATGAAATTGCAAATATTTTCTTATGATGGAATGCCTGTTTCCCTTGAGTAAGACAGTGCCCAAAAGAGATTGAGAACTAAGTCCGTAGTCCTGCTTCTTGAGGATTTCTGTGCCCCTCCCTTTTCAAGAAGGGAGGATTAGAAAATTCGAGAAATAAAGGGCACATTCCTCTCAGTGTTTGCAGCACGCAGGTTGCAGGTTATTTTCTGCTTGTGCTGGTCTGTGGAGCGTTTGCTCTGCTGTTGTCACAGGCGCGCAGTTAATCCACTCACCGTCCCTGTTAGAAGGAAATAGACATCTACAGAGGTTCATTCATTCAACTGTATTTATTTATTGGGGAACTATATGCCAAGCGTTGTTTCAGGTGGGGTGGGGGTTGGGGGAAACGGAACAGTGGTGAGCAGGGTCAGTGAAACCCTGCTCTAGAAAATACATCCCGGTGGCAGCCAACAGGAAAATTGAACTATAGTGTTAGCTGGCAATGAGTTCTTTTTTTACTTGGTTTGTGTGTCACAGCATGCATGAAGAGGTCAGGACAACTTTTGAGAGTCAATTCTTCCACCATGTGGGATTGAATTTGGCTCATAAGGGTCTGGCAGCAAGAGCTTTTACCAATCCAGCCATCTCCCTGGCCCAGCAATCAGTTTTTTTAGGGAACACGAAAGTGGAATAGAAAAGTGGGGGTATAGTAAGAATTTTGTTCCTGTCAAGTGGTTAGGAAAAGTGTCTCTTCAAAACAGAACAAACGGAGCTGGGTGGTGGTGCACACCTTTAATCGTAGCACTACAGAGAGAAACCCGGTCTTGAAAAATAAAAATAACAGTTACAATAAAAGAACAGAAGGAAGGAAGAAAGTAGATGAGTTTAAAGTTTTGTTGTTTGGGTTCAGGGTGGTGCTGCACTCCTTTAATTCTATCACTCAGGAGGCAGAGGCAGGCCAACCACCGAGTTTCATCCTAGTCTACCTAGTGAGTTGCAGGCCAACTAGAGCTATAGTGAAACAGTGTTTTTATAAAGAAAAGGGAGTTTAGTTTGGTTTGTTTTTTTTGTCTTAGTGACTTTTCTTTTGTGATAAACACAAGACAACTTGTTTGTGGGACTTGTTGGCATATACCCAGTGCTTGGGAGGCAGAGGATAGGCTGGCAGAACTCTGAATGAATTCAAGGGTAGCCTGATCTACAGAGCGAGTTCCAGGATAGCCAGGTTACACAGGAAAGCTGGTGGGGGGAACTTAATTAGGAGCTTAGAATCCATGCAAGCAGGAAAGCATGGTGCTGGGGCAGTAGCTGAGAGCTTATACCTGATCCACAAGCACAAGGCAGAGAGAGTACATAGGAGCTTACCTGGGAGACCCTGAGAGAGAGCATAATGTGCTAACGGGGAATGCATACAGTATTTGAAGCCCATCCCCAGTGACCCAGTCCCTCTAACAAGGAATGCCACACCTCCTGATCCTTCCCAGACTGTTCCACTAACTGGAACAAGCATTCTTATACGTGAGTCTTTATTTATTTATTTATTTTCAAGACAGGGTTTCTCTGTGGTTTTGGAGCCTGTCCTGGAACTAGCTCTTGTAGACCAGGCTGGCCTCGAACTCACAGAGATCCGCCTGCCTCTGCCTCCCGAGTGCTGGGATTAAAGGCGTGCGCCACCACCGCTCTTAATACATGAGTCTTTTGGGCCATTCTCATTCAAACCACCCACAATTTTCTCTGAAAGTTTACTGAGACAGACAGGGCTGAGGTGTAGACTTGTTGGAAGATTAGGATAGGTCTTTGAATATGGTTACATTCACAGTGTCTCTTACAGGCTCCAGCAGAGTGATTAACTAAGCATTTGGATATCTACACCTAGAATTCTTGTCCCATGGGTATAAATATGAGTTGCCAGGTTAGATAATCAAGCTTGTAATCTGAGCTACTCAAGAGGCTAATGCAGACAGGAGGATCACAAATACTTGAACATCCTGGACTTGTCTCAAAAAGTAAAAAGAAAAAAAATAGCTGGATATAGAATATAGAGCTTGTTGGTAGCACATTTGCTAAATAACAAGTACAAGTATGCAACCCTACAGTAAGTCTCCAATAATGCCGAAATAAATAAAATACAGGAGTTGTCAGCAGGCAACAGGTGAGAATCACCCAGAGGAGGAGGCTGAATGGGGTCAAAAGGGCTGAGGCAGCCAGTCCCTTGTCTTTGATACCTCGTACTGTTGTTCTTGAGGTGTAGACATAAAGAGAAATCTGTCAAGGGCTGGTGCTGTGCTGTGCTGTGCTGTGCTCTGGAGGAGAGAAAGCAGGGGGGAGTGGCGTAGTCACCTGGTAGGTTTCAGCTTCTGAAAGAGGTTGAGAGAATAGTTTCCAGAGTGATGTGAGTAGGAACAGGCAAGTTAAGTAAGAGACTCAAGGAGGACAAGCAGTGCCCTAAATGCCTGTGAGTGAGAAAAGTCAAGATGGAAGGCGATTGAGTAAAAGAAGTGCTGTTTGGATTGGTGACCATCACAAAGACCTGGTTTAGGAGAATGGGGGGAAGAAGACCAGTTGAAACTAGGGTGTCCTGTCACATGGGAGAAAAGTTCCGGGACCTAGACTATTCTAGATGTTACCTTTTCCTAAAGCCCCAGGTAAATGAAGGAATCCAGTTAATACAGAGACAGTTACAGTACCTAGGGATCACAGGCACTTGGCAGAAGAGTACCAGGCTGATGCTGAGCGAGTCCTCAATCTATAGAGAAACAAGCAGGGTAGCAGTTCCCTGCTTCCCCCCCCCCCCCGAGACAGGGTTTCTCCGTAGCTTTTGGTTTCTGTCCTGGAACTAGCTCGTGTAGACCAGGCTGGCTTTTAGTAACAATAAAATGACCAAATTTAGCATCCTCACCCTCAAAAAAGAATATATATTACTGTGGTTGATCCTGGTGCTACCAAGAAAAAGATGCTGTAGGAAGTATTACAGCTTGTAATTACCGGCCTACTGGGGCTTGGCCTCATATACTATATACGTGGTGCTTCCTTTTGTTCTCCTTCCCCTTGCTCTTTTGCCACCAGCCGTTTCTTTGGATTGTGTGGTTCAACCGATCAAACGGAGGATTCTGATTTGTGAGTTTACCCCTTAATAACACACACACACACACACACACACACACAAAACCGCAACACCTGGCGGATAGTTTGGTCCTTCCGTGGGCCAGACAGGCTTCCTTTTGTCTAAGGTGTGTGTGTGTGTGTGTGTGTGTGTGTGTGTGTGTGTGTGTGTAAAATCCCCGTCACAACAGTTTGCAGCGCTTAAGCAGCAAGCTCCTCTCTCTGTGGTCACTACTCCTCTAACTCCATCCTTCTTCATCCCAGTATCCTTAGTTTGGTTGTCCTGCCTATACTTCCTGCCTGATTACTAGCCAGTCAGTTCTTTATTAACCAGTGAGAATAATACATATTCACAGTGTACAGAAGGATTATTCCACAGCATGTTCCTTTTTTGTCTTATTAAAAAGGTTTTAACCTTGACATAGTAAAACTAACAAAACAATAAGAATTACAGTTACAATATCCAGCCCATTTGTATTTGCCAAATTTAGAGAAAATACTCTATTATTTATCTTATCTTTGTGACTCAAGTTTTATACCTAATTTACATTTTATTATAACTTATGGAAAACTTTAACTATGACTGTCTAGTCATCAACTCTGTCAGAGACCCCAGAGGGGTGAAATGTTACCTAACAACAGGACACCTAGCTACCTGCCCAGTTACCCTAGGTTCTTCTGTAACATTGGAGTATGCAGCTCTGGCCTATAAGCCTTCCAAAACTGACAGACGATTTCCTTTCCTGTGAGGTAGGGAAATTTGAGGGACTTTATACAATGTCTTAGCAAAGTTTGACAGTTGCTTTCTTTTGGGTCTTGCTGGTCCAGTTTGGACAGTATACTGTCAGCAATTGAGGCATGGGCAGTTTCTTGGCCCATATGGCTAGCTTTGCCATAATAAAAACACTCCATAATAGTTTGTTTTTTTTTTTTTTTTCCCCAATGCCCATTATCTTCTCTGAAGTAGATTGGTGCTGTCAGGAGCAGATGTGTCTCACTGTCATGAAAAGCTTTAAGTTATTAAACATTAAATGCCATATTCTGTAGGTCTTTGAAGTATTTGAAGACCATCTCCCTAAATATATCTGTGCATGACCCTTGAAAACATACCTAACAATATAAGTTTCACTATTATAGATGACTATTAGTCTGTTATTTTTTAATTATACATTACATTTTTAAATGAGTTGCATAAGCACAGTACTCCAAACAAGAGTAGAAACATACATATATATATAGTATATGAAAAATAATAATTTTATTTGTGTCAATAAACCAAATCTAAAAATATTTTGAGATAAATAGGGTTTGTTTTCTTATTTAGATTCAGTAATCTGCCCTTTTCCCATCCTTCCTATATCATATTCCTCTTTTTTCTCTAAGGAAGATATCTTTTAATTTAATTCCTTTGTTTAACCTTTTTTTAAATACTATAACCAATAAACAAACATTCATAATCAATATTTTGGGAATGTGAGCATCATTCTCTAGACTTCTATGGGCATTGTTGTCTTTGGAGGAACCTTGACAAAGTTGGTATAATTGTTTGATCTTAGCTGGAGTAGTTTGAGAGACTGGACTATCTCAGCCAGCAGCTTTGAAACTGTCTTGGATATAGGATGTTGAGTCTGTAAAAGAGGCATTTTGAGGTACTGTATCACCTGAGCCATCTATTTTCATTGGTGTCTGGTCTTGTACTGAAAAATACATAACCTTTTAAAGGTAACATACATTTTTGCATTAATACAAGTATAGACTGTGTGTTGTACACAAGTTAGTCTAAGATGATATTTTGTTTTATATTTGAGCAGGTAAAATTACATGTTTTGTAGTTTTTGTAGGCTTATGTCTGTTGTCAGAATTTTCAGGGAGGGGCTGAAGAGATGGCTCAATAGTTAAGAGCACTGGCTACTCTTCCAAAGGACCTGGGTTCAATTTCTAGTATCCACATGGCAGCTCACAACTGTAACACCTGTTCCAAGGGATCTGATTCTCACATGCAGGCATTCCTGAGAGAAAAACACCAATGTTTATAAAATAAAAATAAATAATTAATAAAAGAGAAAAAAAGAATTTGTGGGGAGTTTTCTTTAATCAAACCTGATTTTCTTTAACCTGAAATGGATTCATAGCATCTCCTTTTCCATGGAAATAAAAGTATAACTTCTCCCTCAAAGCAACATACCTTTTGACTTAAATTTTATTTTTGTTTTAAAGATTTATTTATTTTTATGTATACAGTGTTGTGCTTACATATATGCTTGCATGCCAGAACCAGAGGGCACCAGATCTCATTACAAGTGGTTATGAGCTACCATGTAGATACTGGGAATTGAACTTAGGACCTCTGAAAGAGCAGCCAGTGATCGCTCTTAACCTATGAACCATCTTTCTAGCCCTTGACTTAAATTTTGAAGTCAAGATTTTTTAAAATATGTAAGTTGGTTTAAACTAGTAGTTTTTATAGTCCAGTGTCCCTGAGCAGCCAAAGAATTTAAAGGCAATACAGGATCCAGAATCTGTGTATTCCCCATCTTTACATGACTTTTTTTTTTCTTTTATATTACTTTACTCACTTTTTAAGAAGTTTAAGCCAGGTGATGGCGGCACACACCTTTATCCCAGAACTCAGGAGGAAGAGACAAGCGGATCTCTGAGTTCAAGGCCAGCCTGGTCTACAGAGTGACAGGTGCCAAACCTACAGAGAAACCTGTCTCAAAAAAAAAAAAAAACTTTATTTTAAAAGTATGTATTACTTTTTTATGAATGTCTACACTTTTTCTTTTCCCTCCAAAGTCTGTTTACAGGGTTTTTTTGTCTGAATCTCTCTTTATTGCATATCTGTAATCTTTTTCTGACCACATGAGCATTTAAACTGCTAAGTGGCATGGCTAGGACCTCCACCTCTGTTTTGGTGGCTGGTTCTATCTGGTCTGCTTGGTTCCTTCAGTGCACGAGAGCCATATTTGTTGCCCCAACTCTGGGAGTTTTTGGATCCATGCTGTCACCAAGTAGTGCTCCATCTGCTGTTCATAATCCCCACCTAAGTGTTTGGTAGCAGCCCCCCCCCCTTTTTTTTCCCTTCGGGACAGGGTTTCTCTGTGTAGCTTTGGAGCCTGTCCTGGACCTCACTATGTAGAACAGGATGGCCTCAAACTCACAGAGATTTGCCTGCCTCTGCCTCTTGAGTACTAGGATTAAAGGTGTGTGCCACCATTGCCTGATTTCTTTTTTTTTTTTTTTTTTTTTTTTTTTTTCCTTTTCTAAGACAGGGTTTTTCTGTGTAGTCCTGGCTGTTCTGTAACTTACTCTGTAGATCAGACTGGCCTTGAATTTAGATTCACCTGCCTCTGCCTCCTGAGTGCTGGGGTTAGATGTGTGCCACCACACCAGTGGCAGGAAGTAGACTCTTATCAGGGCAGTTTGTGTGATTTATTTCAATTTTAAGAATCTACAAGTGAAACCTAAGTTTTACTGGTACAATGGATGTTGGTTACCTGGTGCTGAAGGAATCAGCAGTAATTACTAAAGACCAGCATGGCATCACTGAGATCAAATTTTGTGAGAAGTATTTCCTCAGGATCAGCACTCAAAATCTGGTTGGTCCAGTGTGGGCAGAAGCTGCATCTCAGTCTGAAAACTGAACATGGCAGTATTTAAAACTCATCCCATATGAGACTGATTTTGAAGGCATGAAGGAGTGAGTTGAACTGTTTAGTTTTTAGAGTCACCTTGAAAGAGAGAACCTCAGATGAAGAATTACTTCCTTCAGATTGACTTGTGAGCAATGTCTGTTGGAGATTGTCTTGATAGATATGGGAGGGAGGACCCAGCCCACTGTGGGTGGCACCATCCCTAGGCTGGTAGGCCTAGGCTATATAAGAAAATAAGCTGAACAAGCTATAGGGGACCTGGCTTGCTTGTTTGCTTGCTAGCTTTTTTGATTTTTCAAGACAGTGTTTCTCTATAGCCCTGGTCATTCTGCCTGTCTCTGCCTCCCAAGTGCTAGGATTAAGGGCATGCACCACCACTGCCTGGCTGAGGGAGCAAGTTTTCAAGCAACATTATTCATTTAAACTCCTACCTTGAATCCTTCCTACTTTGGCTTTTTTCATGATATACCGTAACCTGTAATCCCTTTCTTCCCCAAGTTGCTTTGATTTTGGTGTTTATCATAACATAACACAAAAAGCAAACTAGAAGAACTAAAACACCGAATCTGGTTGTAAAACCATATAAATCTACCTATTCAGGAGGCCAAGACAGGAGAATTGCATGTTCAAGACCAGCCTGGTTAACTAAGCATGTCCCTCAGTTGTATTGCCAGAATCCATATAAAGGTGGAAGGATAGAACTTCATCCCACAGGGTTGTCCTCGGGCCTCCATGTGTATTCCTTGGCATATGTGTCCCCCTATTATACATACATAAATTAATACTTTAAAGGGAGAAGGCTAGAGCTATATCTCAGTGGGTGGAGTGCTTGCCTAGCATGCATGGAGCCCTAGGTTTGATCCCTAACACTTTAAATAACAGGTATGGTGGTGCATGCTGCACTAAGGAGGTGGAAAATTATCTTCAGCTACATAGGAAACTTGAGGTCAGCTTGGACTATTTGAGACTGGTGTGCTTTGTGATCTACACATCAGATATGGGTACAGTTGACTAGTGGGTGAGGAAACCTGGAAATCTCACTGGAATGATATCTGCCAGGTGATCAAGGAGGTCAAGGCAGACATAGGGTGCGTGGTAGCCCAGAAACATTGGAATGGGACTCATGACTAGATGTGAGGTAATGTAAAGGTGAAGATGCAATACCAGGTTCCCTGGCTGTGTGTCTCATGCTGCTCTGTTGAGATCTGGTGCGGAGGTGGAGCACTGCACAGAACCCCTCACCTACCCCACACAGATGTGCTCCTGGCATTTTCACAGCACTTTCCCCTTTCTGCAGTAACCCAACAGGAAAAGACACCGCCACCTAGGCCTAACCTGCTGGAAGCAGGTGTCGAAGGCTGTGAGGAGCCCAAGCAGCAAGTGTCATGGGAACAGGAGTTCCTGGTGGGGAACAGCCCAGGAGGCAGTGGACGGGCACTGTGCATGGTGTGTGGGGCTGAGATCCGGTCCCCATCAGCAGATACTGCTCGCACACACATCCTGGAGCAGCATCCGCATACCTTGGACCTGAGCCCCTCTGAAAAGAGCAACATCTTGGAAGCCTGGAGCGAAGGGGTGGCCCTTCTGCAAGACATCCAAGTTGACCAGCCATCCCTGCCCAGCCTAGGTAGTGAGGGTGAGGGCTGAGGGAAAAGTGGGGCCTGTAGGGGCCCTGGAGCTCAGTGGGCTTTTGCCCCCTCAGAGTCAGGCCAGGATGGCCATCCAGACCCCAGCTCCAACCCGGACCCTGCCAGGATGCCAGCAGAGATCGTGGTCCTCTTGGACTCCGAGGACAACCCATCCCTCCCTAAGAGACTCCGGCCCAGAGGACTCCGCCCTCTTGAACTGCCTGGTCAGTCAACAGAGGAAACCCTATTCTGTGGGCTGGGGTGGGCATGTGTTCTCAGGAGCCTGAGGTTACAGAGTTCAGGCATAGAGCCTTAAAATGCTAAAGTTTTTCCTTTTGCAGTTGCCCCTGTCACAGAGCCAGGAAATAAAAGGGCCCGTGGTCAGAGATGGAAGGAGTCCTCTGAGGAGGAGCCTCCTAGAAAGAAGAGAAGCAGGCATATGACCAAAAACCTGGACCCTGACCCAGGTGAGGGGATCTAGGGGTGATGGGCCTGGCTATAGCATGAAGTCCATGAGGAAGTAGACAGGCAAAGGGCACCTGCATGCAGTTCAGCTGAAGCTTAAGGCCTTTGGGTTCTTGCCTCCTCTACTCACAGTTCTTCCTGGCCTTCTTCCAGACCCCCCATCTCCTGAGTCACCCACAGAGACGTTCTCAGCACCAGCCGAAGTCCGACACTTCACTGATGGCAGCTTCCCTCCTGGCTTTGTACTCCAGCTCTTCTCCCACACGCACCTCAGGACCACAGACAGTAAGGACCCTTCTAAAGTCAGCAAAGGAGCAGCAGAGGGCCTGCCTCAGCCAGAAAGTCCCTCTTCAGGTGAGCCCTCCTGGGGGGGGGAAGGTCTGTCAAGGAAGCTGAGTCCCTAGATCCCAGCCAGAGCCCAGGGTGGAGGTGCTCAATGTTTAGGCCCCCAAGAGAAGGCCAAGGACAGGGGGATTTGAATGCTTGAGGAAGCTGGCTCCTGTGCTGAGCATCTCTTAGAGTGGTCATTAGGTTGTACTAGGCCTCCGAAAGCTTGATGCCCAACTTCATCCATGAGGCTAGTTGCAGCTGGAACCCCGGAAGAACTCCCCTCACAGTGGTGATACAGGGTCCAAGTGAGGTACTCAGCCATTTAAACAGGTGTGGAGCACCATAGACAGGCGATGAACATCAGATAGGTACTCCATAGTCCAGCAAGCTTAGTGAACTTTGACAGCTTGTGTTTATAACCTGTCCCACTGACTGAGGAGCTTTTGTATGTAATTAGTTTGTTTCCTTATAAACCAAGCATAATCCAACACTTGGAAATCTGAGACAGGAGTGAATGAAATAAATAAAAAGGTGGCACACGCCTTTAATCCCAGCACTCGGTAGGCAGAGGCAGGCGAATCTCTGAATTTGAGACCAGCCTGGTCTACAAGAGTTAGTTCCAAGACAGGCTCCAAGAAGCTACAGAGAGGGGGCTGGAGAGATGGCTCAGTGGTTAAGAGCATTGTCTGCTCTTCCAAAGGTCCTGAGTTCAATTCCCGGCAACCACATGGGGGCTCACAACCATCTGTAATGAGGTCTGGTGCCCTCTTCTGGCCTGCAGGCATACACACAGACTATTGTATACATAATAAATAAATAAATATTAAAAAAAAAAAAAAGGCTGTATTGTAGATAATAGGGAGAGCAGAGCTAGCCCCTCAACCACACGATGAGAGGTGGGGAGGAGAACCAGGTGCAGCAGCCAAAGAAGAGAAGGTAATAAGGGAGGGGTAACTGAAATGGTTGCTCTGTATAGGGAAGGGAGGCAGCTGAGGGAATAACAGCCCAGCCCCTGGGGTAGAGAATTCAGGGGTAGAGGGTGGGATATGCCAACCATACCCTGTAACAGGTAGGGAATGGAGGCTACTGGGAGAACCTGGTGACTATGTCCACTTTGGTAAATAGGCACCTCAGCCATTTGTTTGAGACTTAACAAGGAGGATTGCTGCAGGTTGGAGGTCAACCTAGGTTACAGAGTAAAAACATAAAAGCTAAAACCAAAAAAAGTACAATGCCTGTCTTTTGTTATGTTTTTGTTTGGGTTTTTTTTTTTTCTTTTGAAACAGTCTATAGCCCAGGCTGGCCTCAAAACCATTTAGCCAAGGTTGGCACTTAACTCTTCATCCTGCTGCCTCTTCCCAAGTGCTGACCCAGGAAGCTGATCACCACTGGTCATCAATCCTCCTAACTTCCCTTCCTCCCTCCCTCCCTTCCTTCTTTTTGTTTGTTTGCTTAAGCTTTTTTAAATGGTTTATTTTACTCATGGGAGGGCACATGGCTTGGTACAGAGAGGTCAGAGGACAACCTGCAGGAGTCTGGTTTTCTCCTTCACTGTGTGGGACCTGAGATTGAATTCACATCAGCAGACTTAGTAGCTCCCAGCTTGCTTTCTGTTGCTTTAGGGTTCTGGTCTCTATCCCATCAGGCTTTGCTTTACTGAACTTTTATTTGCACCATTCCATCCTTTATCTCCTTGTCCCTTGGAAGAGTGAGTGCTTAACTCAGGTTAAGACTTGAGTCTCCAGCTCCTGGACCCTTAACTAAGTTCTGAGCTTTTCCTCATGTCTTGCTTATGAAAGTAGAACATGGGAAGGAAGCCTTACGATTTTGTTTTATTGAGGGGAAAACTGAATCAAGCATGGCAATGGTGCACACCTTTAGTCCTAGATACTGCTTTGGAACTCAGCTGCCTGATTCAGCCTGTGCTGACCACATGTCAAAAGAAAAGCCAGGGAGGGGCTGGAGAAGTAGCACAGAGGATAAAAACACTTGTAGAAACCAGATGACCTGAGTTTGATGCCCAGAACCCACTATAGGAGAGCACCAACTCTAAAAGTTGCTCTCCTCCCAATAATAATAGTTATTATCAGAAATATAAACCAGAAAATAAGGAAGGTTGGGTTGCTAGTGTGGAATACTTGTTTAGCTTGTGTCTAAAATCCCAGTGTGTAGTGTTGTTTGGGCTGCATGTAAGTCTGTACATCACCCATGTGCCTGGGACTTGCTGAGGCCAGAAGAAGGTTTTTAATCCCCTGCAAAGTTATAGATGGTTGTGAGCTCTACCATGTAGATTGAACTTAAGTCCTTTGCAAGAATAGCCAGTGCTGCCGGGCGGTGGTGGCGCACGCCTTTAATCCCAGCACTCGGGAGGCAGAGGCAGGCGGATCTCTGTGAGTTCAAGGCCAGCCTGGTCTACAAGAGCTAGTGCCAGGACAGGCTCCGAAGCTACAGAGAAACCCTGTCTCAAAAAACTTCAAAAAAAATTAAATAAATAAAGAAAGAATAGCCAGTGCTATAAAAATCTACTAAATCATTTCCCCCGCACTAGTTTGGTTTTTGTTTTTGCTTTCTGTTTTTTTTTTTTTTTTCAGTCATTAAGTTGCCTAGACTGGCCTTGATCTCTCAATTTTCCCGCCTCAGCCCCCTCAGGCTAAGATTATAAGCATAAACTGCTGCGTCCTACAAGGATTTTTATCCCCAACAGTACAAAAGTAAAGGGTTAAGGGATGGAAGCTAGACCCTGGGCAAGTAAAGTTTCTTGGCTAGGGCCTCTCACCCAGCAGGCTAGAGTTTGTTGTCCTTCCACCAGGCCCATTCAGACATCTAGCTGCAAGCTTGGTACTTGGCCCTGTTGTGTGACAACTTTTCATGGGGTGTTGCAAGCTACATACCAAAATACAAAGACCACCGATGTTCAATTTGGTTAACCAATGAGTTTTATTGGGTTTATTTATAGGCATATGAATGAGGGGTTACTTACAGGAGCAGAAATGACTCAGATCGCTGTGTCATCAGAGCCCACCCCAGCATGACTGACATGTTACTTTCAAAACTGAACCTGGAGCACACTGTCTGCTTACAGACAGTTCAACAGGTTGAAGATGTCCTTTCCAGGTGCCTCAGTTGGGCCAAACTCTTCCAGGTAGAGTTGGTTTCAGTTTCTCCAGGCAAGGGGTCTGGCCTCGGGCAGCTTTTCTGCTCTTCATTGACTGTCCACCTGTCTGGCAGTCTGTTTTACAGCTCAGCTTTACTTCTCTCCTGAGGAAGCTCAGCTTTCATTGTTTACTCTTGGCAGGGAGGGGCTTAGTGAATCTGATCAGTTTCCAGGACTTTGTGAGGTTTTCTGAGTTATTTACCTTCCTGCTTAAGCAGCTTCCCTGCAGGATAGAATGTTTCTACCTCCAAGGATATTGTTATGCAAGCCCTCTCACCCAAGTCTATCTCCTCTCCTCTCAGGGGAAGGCCCTAGCAGGGATTACCTCTTCTCCCATTTCAGGAGCCATCGGTTTTCTCCTCTTTGGCAATCATCTCCAATTCTTCTGTCATCTCACACAAAGTTGCTATTTCTCTTTTCCTGACTCCTTCATCCTTCTGACTATGTCCATTTATTCCCAAGATGGAGTCTTTGCTTTCAGCTGCCTCTTGCCTCTGTCTCTGGAGTTTCTGGGCTCAGATTTTATCCATAACAAACTGAAGCTTATTCTTTTTTTTTTTTCTTTTTTTTTCTTTTTTTTTTTGGTTTTTTTGTTTTGTTTTGTTTTGTTTTTTTTCGAGACAGGGTTTCTCTGTGGTTTTGGAGCCTGTCCTGGAACTAGCTCTTGTAGACTAGGCTGGTCTCGAACTCACAGAGATCCACCTGCCTCTGTCTCCCAAGTGCTGGGAGTAAAGGCGTGCGCCACCACTGCCCGACTTGAAGCTTTTTCTTTACCAATGCCTGTTGACTGCCATAAAGTTAAAGACCACAGTCTGACCTCCATTTCCATCCTTTGAGTTAATCCGAAACAGGCTATATAGCCTTGTAGACCTTCATCCTCTTCCTCTCAAGTGACAGGTTTACAGATACACATCATCATACCTGGCATTTCTCATGTCCTACAGTTGGTAACACACCATTATTGTCTGTTGTCCCCATTCTAGAATGTAAGCTTGTTAGCCCCATGATGGTCCCAGTGGTCATAATACTTCAGGTGCAGCACTGTTTATATGTATCTAGGAAATGATGTGCGTGGTTCCAACCTGGCCCTCTCTCCCTTTGGTTCCACACTCTCTACTGGTAGCCAGGCATTACCTCTACTTGGTGGATTAAAGTTGTCAGCAGAGGATATATAGTGAGATGCTGTCTTCAAAAAACAAACCCTAGTACCCAAGAGGCAGAGGTGGCAGATTGCAGTGACTTTATGGAGTTTGTGACCAGTCTGATCTGCAAGTTCCAGGGCAGCCAAGGCTATATAGCAAGACCTTATCGCAACCAAAACAAAAACCCCAACAGAATTTTTTTTTGCATACAGGGTTTCTTACCTCAGAAAAGTTTTCTTTCAGACACCATTCTCGCTAGAGAGATGGCTCCGCGGTTAAGAGCACTGCCTGCTCTTCCAAAGGTCTTGAGTTCAATTCCCAGCTACCACATGGTGGCTCACAACCATCTGTAATGAGGTCTGGTGCCCTCTTCTGGCCTGCACGCATACAAGCAGACAGAATACTGTATGTATAAATAAATAAATAAATAAATAAATAAATAAATAAATAAATAAATAAAATATAAAAAACAGACACCATTCTCTTAAGGTTGGGCACACCTTTAACCACATTATTTGAAAGGCAGAGGCAGTTGGATATCTGAGTTCGAGGGCAGCCAGAGCTACACAGAGAAACCTGGGGGTGGGGTTGTGGGGAGATGCTTCCCTTTCTCTAGTAAACTGCTACCTTTGGTTTGCTGTCGCCACCCCTTCAGTGAGTTACCCTCTTCTCTCTCAACCCCACATCTGCAAACCTCAGTTTACTCTTCTGTCAGCTACCACTACTCTGACCTAAGGTTGCCTTAACTTTTCCTGCGAGATATGAAGAAATGTCTGCTTCCCCCAGATAAGATGCTCAGCTCACCTTAGTGTTCTGCCACTGAACTAATGCCCCAGCTCTGTTTTACTCTTTATCGTGAGACAGAGTCTCACTCAGTTGCTCAGGCAGGCCTTGAACTTTGGGTTATGATCTTCCTGCTCTACCTTCCTATAGGCTGGGGTTATGACCATGTGTGTGGTCCACACTGGTTTGATGAATCTCTCTGTATGTGAATTGAACCCAGGGCTTAGAGTTTTCATGCTCCACCACTGAGCTTGCTGTATTCTCAGCTCTTTTTTTTTTTAAATTTATTTATTATGTATACAATATTCTGTCTGTGTGTATGTCTGTAGGCCAGAAGAGGGCACCAGACCTCATTACAGATGGTTGTGAGCCACCATGTGGTTGCCGGGAATTGAACTCAGGACCTTTGGAAGACCAGGGAATGCTCTTAACCACTGAGCCATGTCTCCAGCCCCTCCTTTTTGTTTTTTAAATAGAGTTTATACATAGACCTGGCTGTCACAGAACTCACTGTAGTGTAGACTGGCTGACCTCAAATTCATGGAAATCCACCTGCCTCTACCTCCTGAGTGCTAGGATTAAAGTTGTGGGCCACCAGGCCTAGCTGAGATTGCTATGCCATATAATATCATGTGTGTGGGTCCAAGTCAAGGACATTTTTTTGTTCTACCTGTCTTATCTGGAGGCTTGGCCTTGCTATTCCCAGTATCCTCATGCCAAGACACCTGACTGTGTGACACCTGTCAACTCCGGGGATGTGGAGCCTGGATGAACGCTACAGAGCAAAGCTGGAGCATTAACCCAGGGTGTCTGTGATGTGCTCTGCCTTGTTACTCCCATACTCCATGGAGTCAGTGGATGTGTTCTCAGCATATCACTTCTGTGTGCAGTCTTGGAAGTTAGGAGCTGGGGAGCAGCATCATGGCATTGTGAACCCACATGCCAAGTACACAAGGATAAAGCTGTATTCTTTGCTTGCCCTGTGCCTAAGGGCTGTGAGACTAGTCATTGCTGGTCAATCAAGAGTCAGCTTTATGCTTTTTCTTGGACTTCCTCCAGGACAAGACTGTGGGCTGTAGAAATGGGAAACCCTGGTAGTCTGTGGTTTGCAGTTTTGGGGACCATTGGAAGGCCCTGACTGTACTCTCTGCTCCCATCCCTTCCCAGCTCCCCCTCCGGGGCTTCGGGGGACACTGGATCTCCAGGTTATTCGTGTTCGGATGGAGGAGCCACCAGCCGTCCGCCTCTTACAGGACTGGTCCAAGCATCCCCAGGGTACCAAGGGGGTGGGAACAGGTGACAACCCAGACTGGCCCACTGTTCTGTCAGAGTCCAGTGCCACTGTTAAGGAACAACCAGAGGCAGGAAATGGGGTATGAGTTTTTACTTTCCTGGAGAGGGAGGAGTGGGAGGAAGGAAAGGTGGGAGGGAGGAGGCAGTATCCCCCTTTGGCTTAAATCTCAGATCTGCCCAGCTCAGCCACCTGATTGAGTTTTAAAACCAGGTGCCAGGAAAATGTGGAAGGAGAAGTGGCATCACTGTCACAGTGGGGCACTAGAAAATGCCTGCCCCTGGACAATCCTGAATGAGGCAGAGGTGGCTTAGGCTATTGGGTGATAGGCATTGGGCCTGTGGAGAACACCTTCCCCAATCCTTCGCTGACTCACCCTCTGACCCCATACCTCCTTCCTGTCAGCTCCCACCATTCTCCCCTGGCACAGTGCCTTATGCAGAGGTGGTCATGATGGGGTTTGAACTGAGTCCCACTACCTCGGGGGACACCTCTCCTCCCCCATTTCTGGCTCCTTCAGGAGGAGACCTCCATTACCTCTTAACCGCCTCATCCCTGCCGAGGGCTCCATTTACCACCCCTTCTCCTATTGTCCTGTTGCATCTTTTATCCAGTTGTATATATTGCCTTTGTTGACAATAAATTATTTTTTTTTTAATTAAAAGTTCTGTCTGGACCATCATTGGGAAAAGGGAACAACTTGAGGGGCAGGAAAATTGAAAGGTCATCCTAAGTTGGAGCCAGAGACCCCTGTCCCGGGCAAGGGAGCCTTGAGCCCAGAGCAGAGCTTGCTTGGGCCTCTGGAACTGTTCTAATTGGTGTCAGTCAACGGAGAGACACCTTACTTCTCTTCATTAACACATTTTCTTTATTTGACCTTCTGACCCACCTGGTAGACTTCTGTCCAAGCAAGGCTACCATAGAGCTAGGACACTCACACCTAGGAAGGTAAGAGTTATTGGGGCCTGAGCTGCACGTGGTGGCATGCACCTTCAATCCCAACACTTGGGAGTCAGAGGCAGGCATATCTCTATGAGTTCAAAGCTAGACTGGTCTACAAAGTGAGTTCCAGGACAGCCAAAGCCGTTACACAGAGAAACGCTGTCTTAAAATTAAAATAATATAAAATAAAATAAATGTTATTGGGGCCTGATCCTGGCCAGCCTGCACAGACATCTCCAGTGAGGAGAAGGTAGCACATACCTGCTTTCTTATAGTTCTATACTCTCCGCTACACAACTCACCCTTAGCCCCCAGCCTCAACACAAGTCTGCCTCGGGTCTCTGCAGATTTGGGGCTCTCGAGCTACCTTATACAGGCCTAATCTGTGGGCTCTTGCCCTTGGGGCAAAATGAACCTTCCAGGTTGCTTAATCCAAAATCCTAGGTTCCGCTGTCCTGTTCACAATCCCCAGCAGGTATTTCGTGAACTGGGGCCACCCCACACTGCTGACTGGCTGTTCCAGGAAATTACAGAGACCTAGGAAGAAAAAGGAAGACATTTCAACTAGGGAGAGTCAGGCTGTGCTAGATCTCATACCGGACTAATGGGATTGGCCCTTTTAAACCATCTGATGTTCTCAGGAGCCCAGGAATGTAGAAGGTCCTTGTCCAGGACAGACTGAGACAGGCATGAAGTAGAGATAGCAGTCAAAGTTTCAGGGTACCTTATGTCCAGAATGCCTCAGCCATGTATGAGACAGGTAGGCCACAGGACTCCTGGGTCTGTATGTGTTTCTGCAGATTGACACAATTTGGAAGCTCCATAACAATAATGCTCCTTATCTCTGAACACACCGGGTTAGGGTTGTACGTAGTTTCTGTCCCTACAATTGTGTGACTTTACATTTATGCCAACTTCCTTTTAAAGACATTGTGGCTATCACAAAGTATTGAGGAAATGTGTCAAAGATTGTGTTGTGAAATGATGACCGAAAAGCCCATTTGTTGTAGTATGATCCTGGTTTCTCCTAGCCTGTGAACTCTGGGGCAGGGACATTGATTTGATATTTCTGTGCCCCACATAGGGACCTGGCACATAGGTGCTCAATAAACGTCTGTCAGATGCTATCTTGGTCTCTAGGTGTGCATTCTGTGTGACCTTTTTCTCATACAGCCAATGACTGACTCAGTTCTTTTTGGGTTTTGTTTGTTTTTGTTCTTTTTAGATATTCTGGCTGTTTCAAACCGATGATCAGCCTCCATATCCTCCCAGGTGCTGGGATTATAGGTATTCTCCACCATGCCCACTCTTAACACTAAACTTACGACAGTTAAAAAAAAAAAAGTATTAACACTGACCCTTCAGGATGAGGGTCTTTGAGTTGTCTTATGTTGAAATAGGAGCGGCGGGGCTGCGTCCCCAACACCCCGGCCGCTTGCTAGCTCATGCCCGAAATAACAACACACAAACTATTCATTTAAAGAACTACTTGGCCCATTTCTATCTAGCCTCTTCTAGGCTAACTCTCGCACCTAGACTAGCCTATTTCTAGTAATGTGTGTAAGCACCCCAAGGTGCGCTTACCAGGAAGATTCTAGCCTCCGTCCATTCTGGGTTGGAGCTGCCTGGGAGAGCGGAGCCTGGCGTCTCTGCTCCAGAGAGCAGAGCTGTCGGGTCTACCCGGGAGAGCTGAGCATGGTCTCTCTGCTCCAGAGAGCAGAGCTGTCCAGTCTCTCCGGAAGCAGAGCAGAGTCTGACCTCACTTCCTCTTCGGCCCAGAATTCTATTCTGTTTACTCCTCCCATCTATGTTCTAAGCTATGAGGCCAAGCAGATGGTTTATTATAATTAACCAATGACCTTCCTCCATCATTTCCCCTTTTTCTGTTTAAAAAAAAAAGGAAGGCTTTAACTTAACATAGCAAAATTACATATAACAAAACAGTTATCAAATAAAAATTACAATAATCTATATCATAACTAAGGAAAACTATAACTATAGCTAACTATTCTTAACTCCAT